CTCTCTAGTCTTTAAAACAAAACAAAACAAAACAAAAACTTCTTAACTAGAAATGATGCATTCCCTTTCTTCAAAGAGATTTGGGAAAATCTACTGAAGTCCTCTGAAGAGCTAAATCAACCTCAAGTTGCATCTATATCCTGGAAAGTTATTGACCAAACACTCCCAACAGCCACTCTGGGTCCAATAAAACCATGCTGAAAAGGTGTATATGTGATACATTTCTCCTGGGAAGTTCCTATTTTAAATGAGTCTAAAAACTACATGATTTCCTAGAAAATAACTTTGCATAGACCCAGACTGGCAATGTATTCATAACTAATAAATGAATATTACTTAATTCATTTTCTTTGCTTACTTGCACCCATACCACCTCTTTCATGGGACTATACCTGATACTTGTTAGACTTTCAAAAATGAGAGATTTGAAATGAAAAGGATCAGGCAGTTGTTTGTCAAGGCGTGGACTTCTTTGTAGGTACATAAAACAAAATGTGCAAGCTCCTTCAGGGCATGATTGCTGTGACATAGGAAATAACACTGGATAATCGTGTAGACTTATTGCTTGATTATACTGAGTCAAAACAATACGATGGTAGCTTCAGCCTCTACTCTGAAGAAACTACTCACCTTCCAAATGGCTATTCAGGTCGTGGCCAAGGATATTTTCTCAATTCACATCCAAGCCTTCTTTTTTTTTAGAGATTTTTGCTATAGGGCCTGTGTGCTCGCCAGACAGAGAGAGAGAGACAGAGAGACAGAAAGCGAGAAATCACCCCCAGGGGGGATGGTCACACCGCAATCCCTTCTTCTCCATTCTCCTCTCAGGATCTTGGGCACACACACACACACACACACAGCCTCCATGAACTTTAAGCTACCGGGTCCGGGACACGAACTGCGGTCGACTACGTGGGAGTCCAGCTACATAGCCATTACGCTAACTGCTGGTCCCCAAGCCTTCATATTTTGACAAATGTTACGCTAATCTTATTATTAAAGATGAATGGGACTAACTATTGGCATGGTGGTTGATGTGGCTGAATGTCATATGGCTAACCACACAGGTCAAGTTTTAATCCTGACAGTTTGAAAAACACACCAGGCATGCCTGAAATCCTCGGATTAGAATGAAGGAAAAGATTTGGTAGTGTGGTCATCTCCCTTAGGGGATGCTTTCTCACTCTCTCTCTCTGTCTTGGTCTGGTGAGCACACACACAACTATAGCAAATTTAAAAAAAAAAAAGATTCAATGTTTTCATAGATGGACTGGCTTCACAGATGGACTGGCTCCTCAGAATAAATCCCATTAAATGAAATGCTTACCCAGATGCTTTCTGAATTACAAATTCACTACCAGCAAATATTTCCAAATATTGCTACAAATGAAGTTCCAATTAATCAAAATTAAGAAAGCACTAAAATAATTCTATCTCTAGATTATTGTTATTTTTGCTAATGATAATTTTTAAAGACTCACTACTGAAAATTAGGTTTTTGGTTTCTTCTGATCACCCAAACTCAACCAGTAACAGATACTATTTCTTCAAGAGATATACTTCAATCAAATGCTATTTTGCCTGGTTATTATCATCAGGATCCGAGAAACTTACCCAGGGGTAGTAACGTTTGAGGTAGGTATCAAAGAGTTCAGGAAAATGAGGAGGAAGAGGAATACTATTCTAGTTAGAGGGCCCAAGACAGGCAGCAACATCACCACCTGGCAACTTGGGAGACATGCAAATTCTCAGCCCCACTTCTGACTTGTAAATTAAAAAGTCTGGGATGGGACTTGTAACCTGTGTTTTAACAAGCCCTGCAGGTAACCTTCATGTACCCTAATATTAAAAACCAATGGGCTAGAAATTTGGGAGACAATAGTATGTTGGAAAGACTTTAATTTCTTCGGCATGGCTGAGCTTTAGCCTGAGTTGACAGTGGGAAAGTTGGGATGAAAACACAGGGAAGATGACAATGTGTCTCAAGCACCTTCTTGTGGATTCTACTGTATCAGAATACTGGAGAGATACTCAAGTGCTTTTAATGAGGGAATTTATAGCAAAGTGCAGACGAGTTCTGACTTGATGGCTTCACTTATGATTTTTTGACTTTATATGATGATTTTAAAAAAAAAAGTGCAGACGAGTTCTGACTTAAGGGCTTCACTTATTATTTTTTGACTTTATATGATGATTTTAAAAAATGTGATATGCATTCAGTAGATACCCTATTTTGAATTCTGAATGCTAATATTTTCCCATACTAGTGAGATGTCAAAAACAACACCATCCTTTTTTTTTTACATTTAGTAAAATAGTTAATAAATTACATGATATATTCAACACTTTATTATAAAATATGTTTTGTGTTAGATGATTTCATGCAACTGTAGGCTAATGTAAGTGTTTAGAGCACATTTAAGGTGGGTTGCGCTATGCTGTGATGTTCAGTAGGTTAGATGTATAAATCGCATTTCTGATTTGTAATATTTTCAACTTAGCATGAGTTCATCAGGATGCCACCCCATCATAAATTGAGGGATATCTGTCTTCATTAAAAAACTCGAGGGGCAGTATTGGAAATAGATGGAGTCCCAGACTGAGGCTGCCTAAGGAAACAAGGTCGCAAATGGTTGGGACATTAGGTGAGTCATGATCACAGGAGACTTCTAGAGACTCGGAAAGAATTATCTAACTCTAAATTAGAATGGACTGAAAATGAAGGAGAACAGAGCGCGAGTTCGATGTCTGAAAGTAGATAGATGTTAAAACCATGAACAGCAATTAATAATGCCTAAGAGTGGTCATTTACCAAAAGAAAATATAAAATAAGTTTTGATTTGCTGAATTTGAAATTTATGTAGGTATCTATAGATTCTGGTTATCAGCTATCTCTATCTACCAATTACCTTCATATCTAACCAGGTATGTGTAAAATTAAACTGTAGAAACAAAGGTGACATTTTAGGAAAACTATGTAAGAGAGAAGTGAAGTCAGTAAAGATCTCCCAACATTGGAAAAATGTCCTGTATGGGCATTCACAACAGAAGAAGAGGGACTTAACCTTTGGTCTCATTTTTTGTTCATGGTCACCATGAACTGAGTCATCTGTTGTCTGGCTACAAAAATCACTAGCTTGGATGTAACAGTCACAGCTAACCTGGAAGAGTTAGAATTTGTAAAAGGTTGAGAGACACCTAGTTTTTTGTTTTTGTTTTTGTTTTTTCTTTTTAATTTTTTAAAATTTTTTCATGAGGGAAGGAGACAAGTACAGCTAACAGAGTTTTCATGCCACAATCTGCTCCTAGTCTCAGCCAACCGAAGTCTCAGGTATGACTGTGTCTGGTGTGCACAAGGCGGTCTCAGGATGAGAATCCAGGACCTATCCCAATGTAGGCTAATTGAGTTACTACTGCACCACCACATGTTAAGAGACCTAGCTTTCCCAAATGTAACTAAGTGGTTAAGAAAATAAATAAATAAATAAATAAATAAATAAATAAATAAATAAAACTGGTAAAAATTCTAAATACTTTTTAAAATTTTAAAAATTAATTCCAAAAGTGAAAGCTACAGAGAGACAGACATCACTCCTTCTAGTGCTGCGATCTGCCCCCAGCTTCAGCTCACTTCAGATTAGGGCACACACATGTCCAGTGTTCTCAGTGAGGTCTCCAGGCATGAACCCAGAGCCTTCCCAAGCAGCTTTCAACCTCACAAACCTCACAGTGCTTTGTGTTTTACTGCCATGCCACTATCCAGTCTCCTCAAAAATTTAAAATACTTTCAAAACTAAAACTTAATAACAGAGGGAATAAGGAAATTTAAATAACATCCTTGAAACTAAAAAAAAAAAATTGATTTAAGACAATTTAATATTAATAATTTGGGCAAATAAAATAATAATCACAAAAAGACAATTGCCTAAAAACTTTTCTCTCCTCCTACTAGCCTTCATTAGCTCTGCATATTTGTTTAATTTATCCAATATGTCCTTACTATTTTATTTTTAAAAATCTGCACTGTACTATATATATATATAGGCTCTGATGGTCTTAGCTGCACCTCTCCTTCAACCCCACCCTTAGCTTCTAAAGGACACATGCCTACACAGATTTTAGGGCAGAGAGAGGGTATGAGGTGAATTATCTCTTTCCAATAAATGTCTCTCCTGTTTTTCCAAATTATGGATAATGAGGCCAGAAGTAATTACTGAAAAGGAGTTTGCAACAGTAATTACGGAACTAATCTCAACATGGTGGTGACTGCAGTAACAAAATTCACTTTATAGCTGTCAGAGCCACTTGGAATGTAATAAACATCTTGTGTTTGCAAACCCAGATGCTGTACCAAAGGAAGTTCCATATTAGCAAATTACCACAACGACCTACTATATTCAGCTCATTTTGATTTTGTAATGAGAAAGCCCATTAAACTGGAATAACTTTAAGTTGTGACTCTTAAACAAGTTTGGAAGGGGTAGGCAAAAAAAGGGAGATGGCAGGTTTAAGGAGACCTCCCTGGGCTGCTGCTGAATTTTGCATTTGGAAGCCTGAAATTTGACAGCACCTGGACCATCATCTGTTGCCTCTGCTAACAAGGAGAGTTGAAATTTAAGGGACCTGGGTAGTAGTTCTCACAATAAAGAATGGAGCTTTGAGATTGCAGGCCTAGACTGCAAGGGAGAGTGGATATTTACAAAGCTTAAGCCCAAAAAACCATGGAACACATACATTACAACCTTTCAACTTCTCTGTCTCCTGCACTTTCTCATCAGGGACCAGGGAGCGCCCTACGTGTTTTTCAAATCCCTTCATCCTCTTTGGCAGAAAGCAGTTTTCTTTCACCGGCCTATGTGCTAGCTGAACACACACACACACAAAAAGATTTCTACCTGCTACCTATCACCTAGGGACCCGGGGCCTTTGCTTCATCTTTTTTTCCTTTTGTGACGCCAGTGACCCCCTTCTGGGCCCCAGTGGGCTAGGGTCACAAAGGGCAGCTGCAGTCAGTGCTCTGGACCCCTCAGGCCGGCTTGGGCTCTGGTCCTGCTGCTCCAACCCCAAGGGCCTCTAGCAGCGAGCCCTGATTCCTCCACCTCCCACCATGGCCAGCCAGTCCTGCCTCCCTCCCAACCCACGCGCCTCGGCCCTGAAACCCTCGAGGCAGCACTTGGGAGACATTCAAGTGGGCACGAGTGTGGCCATCCAGCGCAGCGACAAGCGGATCCACCTGGCCGTGGTCACAAAGATGAACAGAGAAAACTCTTGGGTCACGGTAGAGTGGGTTGAGAAAGAAGTCAAAAAAGGTAAGAAGATTGACATAGAGACCATATTGCTGCTTAATCCAGCTCTAGCCTCGGCGGAGCACCCCGCGCCATCCAAGCCCTGGTCCCCTTTGCCTCTAGCGCCCTCTTCCGCTATCGGAGACCAGCGATCAGCTTCAGGGTGGATTGCTATGGTTCCCCAGAAAAATGAAACACCCTCAGGGGACAGCCCGGCCGTGAGGGTCCCCAGCAATCCTTGTCTGATGAAGAGGAAAAAGTCTCCCTGCCTACGGGAAATTGAGAAACTGCAGAAGCAGCGGGAAAAGCGCAGGCGGCTGCAGCTGGAGATCCGAGCCAGACGCGCCCAAGATGTCAACACAGGGAACCCCAACTATGAAATCATGCACATGATCGAAGACTACCGCAGGCACCTGGACGGCAGCAAGATGTCCAGACTGGAGCCCCCCGAAGACCATAGAATCTGCGTCTGCGTGAGGAAACGACCTCTCAACCAGCGAGAGACCACCATGAAGGATCTGGACATCATCACTATCCCCTCGGACAACGTGGTCATGGTGCACGAGTCCAAGCAAAAGGTGGACCTCACCCGTTACCTGGAGAACCAGACTTTCTGCTTCGACCATGCCTTTGATGACACCGCCTCCAACGAGTTAGTGTACCAGTTCACCGCCCAGCCGCTCGTGGAATCCATCTTCCGCAAAGGCATGGCCACCTGCTTTGCCTACGGGCAGACCGGCAGCGGGAAAACGCACACCATGGGCGGGGCCTTTTCCGGAAGGAATCAAGATTGTTCTAAAGGCATTTATGCATTGGTGGCACAGGACGTCTTTCTCCTGCTCAAAGACTCTGCCTATAGGAATCTGGATTTGAAAGTCTATGGGACGTTTTTTGAGATTTATGGGGGCAAGGTATATGATTTGTTGAACTGGAAGAAGAAGCTGCAAGTCCTTGAAGATGGGAATCAGCAAATACAAGTGGTTGGCTTGCAGGAGCAGGAGGTGCGCTGTGTGGAGGAAGTGCTGAACCTCTTCCAGATAGGAAACAGCTGCCGGACATCCGGGCAGACATCTGTCAACGCCCACTCCTCCAGGAGCCACGCCGTATTCCAGATCATCCTGAAGTCAAGAGGAAAGCTGCATGGCAAGTTTTCCCTTGTTGACTTAGCTGGGAATGAAAGGGGAGCTGATATTGCCAAGGTCAACCGGAAGAGGCAGCTGGAAGGGGCGGAGATTAATAAGAGCCTCCTTGCCCTCAAAGAATGCATTCGGGCTTTGGGTCAGAACAAGTCTCACACCCCGTTCAGAGCCAGCAAACTCACGCAGGTCCTCCGGGACTCCTTTATAGGCCAGAATTCTTCCACTTGCATGATTGCTACTATCTCTCCAGGGATGACCTCGTGTGAAAACACCCTCAACACTTTAAGGTATGCGAACAGGGTCAAAGAATTAACTTTAGATGTAAGGTCTTGCCATCATTGCCTCTATCCCATTGGACAGGAAGCACCAAGGATGATAGGAAAGCATGTTAGGAATTCAGAAATGTCCCTTCAGAGGGGTAAGTTTATTAAAATACTTTCTATGCAGAGTGAGGAGGAGAAAGAGACGGAAGACATTGAATATCTATCCACCCCATTGATGGATACAACCACCTCAAGGGAGGCATGTGATCAATGGTGGGAAAACATTCAAGAGACAGCCGACGTTGATTTTTGCATTGCCCAGTCATTGTCCATTCTAGAAAAGAAAATTAGTGTTCTGACCGAGATCCAAAAGAAACTGAAATTATTACGAGCTCATCTGCAAAAGAGCAAGGCAGAGTGAAGTCAACAGCAAGAAATTCGATCTGAAATGATGGTGATAGTGCTACAGTTTCTACCTCTCTTATATAGGACATTGTCCAAATTATCAAAATATACATATCCTCCTGGGAAGCATACACATCTTAAAATATGCTGGCCATAATGTGCTCTTTCTTCTTCCTCTATATTTCTGTAAATCGTTTCCATTCTGTAAGTTCTCAACTGGGAATAATGTCCCCCCAGGCAATGTCTGGGAACATTTTCCATTGTTACTACTCGGGGAAGAAGGGGTAGAGGGCCAGAGATCCTGCTAAACATCCAACAATATACAGGACAGTCTCTGGCAATGAGAGATTATCTGGTTGAAAATACCATTGCTAGCAAAGTTGAGAGGCCTTCCTGTAGGAAGAAACCAACTCTGATGAAACCCTAAATTTGAAGTCAGGAAAGCAATAACCTGTGAATTAAAGAGGCTGGAATGAAAACACATGAAGAGGTACACAATGAAATAAATCTAAAGATACTATGAATCTTCGTGGCATTGCCAAGTAGATTCAAATGATTTCTAAGACCAGTCATACTGGAAGAATTTGGAATTTCCTTTGCAATCCTGTAGGAAAGCTTAGAATTTAGAGGGGTTTTTTTGTTTGTTTTCAATTGAAATTACAAAGTACTCTGCTGTCTGGGAGTGATGAAATGAAGTGTGTGTGTGTGTGTGTGTGTGTGTGTGTGTGTTTTGCATAAGTAGAGGTTTTATTGACCATGGTGTCTTTAAGCCCTTTTTTCACTCAATCTGGCCACATTTTGTTCTTATATGATACACATAAAAAGCTTTCCTGCATCAAATTAAGACAGAATAAATCAGCAAAATAATAGAAAGACACCTACCTAAAGTAGAACACACTCCATAAAGTCCTCAAGAGTTATGTGAAAAACTCTAATGTTTTATATCAGGAAGCAGAAAATTTTCCTAGTTTAGAGATTACAAAGTCCATCTTTGAAAAAAGGACTAAGAAGATATGCAAATATGACTATAATACATACTTTTACATGCAAAGCAATGAATTTAATACCCAATAAACATATTTGTGGAAAACAACTATAAAAGGAAAGAAAGACTAGAAAAAGATCTTTTGGTTTCAGATTGATCAGATTCAAACTTCTAAAACAAGAATTAAAGAGGAATGATTTCTAAAGAAAGTTATGTGTCAGATTGGAAAAATTGGGGGGGGGCAAGGGATATAATTTAAATTTTGCTATTTTTAGCAGGAAGGAGCTATTTTTAAATTTTTGCCTTGAAGGTACAAAGGCTGCATTAGCACTAAGGAAAACTGACACATAGTAATGTTCTGGTGAGTGTTATCAGTGTAAACACAATCAGCATCATCACACATATCTGGTGTTTAGTAACTATTTAATTTCGTGGTCCCTAAATATTTTCCTCTTTGCTGCTTAAGGTACACAGGTGAAGCTATATCTTATTAAGCAAACAAAACCTTGTTGAAACCTGTTGTTCTTTAATATAGGTATTTCCATCAGTACACGTTTTTTGTTTTTGTTTTCATTTCAATTGTAATGAAAAAGTATGAGGTTAAGTTGCAGTGCCCATCTTGTTATTTAAATATCTGTAATTTTAGGCACATAATTAAGACTCTAGCAGTTTAATATAACCACAGCTAATTTATAGCACCTGGGGAGGATGGCCGTCTAGCAGTGCAACACGATACTCTGTGAGGCTGACCCAGATGGGATGGTAAAGTACACACTTTGCAAAGACCTCCCTGAATAAGCTGGACATACTTATGCCCATAACCTGGAGCTGGCTGAAGCTGGTGGTCGGTCACTGCTTCAAGACCCTGTTGGTGGTGCTGTTTTCTCTATCTGTCTCTCTCCCTGGATCATTCTCACTCCTAGAAGCGATAAACAAAGCTAAAACAAACAAACAAAAAACTATAGTGCCTACTTTGAAAGATTGAAAGTGGTTTTATTCTCTCCCTTAATTCTTTCATTTTATGGCAATTAATGTTGTCCCTGGTATTACCATTGTCACCGTTGGTCTGCTACTATATTTACCACCCTTTCACATCTCCTGACTCACACCTAAGTTTGAGTAGGCTACTAGGGGTTCCAAGATTTTGCTATTAATATTTATTTTTACAAGTTTAATGAAGTATTTCTGTTGAAGTACAGTAACATGTCACATAACATTTCAGGCAACAAACTTCACACAACTCTGCCATCAGGAACAATAGATTATACCTTGGTGGGTGGTAGGCTGTACCATCTAGTTTATGGAAGTATACTCTGTGATGTTTGCACAATAGCAAAATTGCCTAACATTTTTCAGAATTGTATCTTTGTCCTGAACCGAGATACACTGTAGAACATAGAAGTGGACAATCTTAAATATTTCATGAATTTTTACAAAATGAATACTTCTATTTCACCACTATACAGACCAAGGTATAGAGTCTAGGCCATGCCCTGTAAGCCTTCTTTGTGCCTTATTTCAGTCATCATTCCATGAATAAAAATTAAGGATGACTGTGACAAATCACAATGAAGTTTGCCTAATTCTTTTTTCATGTATGTTCATATACTAGATATGCTTGTACTTATGTCTTGTTTCTTTTTACAGTTTTTTTTTTTTAGCATTTCACCACAAAAAAATAAATATATAAATTTGATAATTGAGTTATTTCTTTTTTTTTGGAGAGGTTTTTGCTATAAGGCACGTGCGCTCGCCAGAAAGACAGAGACAGAGAGATAGAAAGTGAGAAATCACCCCCCAAGGGGGATGGCCATGCCGCAATCCCTTCTCCTCCATTCTCCTCTTGGGATCTTGGGCACGTATGCACACACGCCCAGCATGAGTTTAAGCCACTGGGTCCGGGACTCGAACCACAGTCGACTCCATGGGAGTTCGGCGACATAGCCATTACGCTAACTGCTGGTTCCGAGTTATTTCTTTTTTAAACAATCCCTACTATTAATGTTATGAATGTTCTTATAATCTTTGGTGCATTTTCATTGTTTGTCTTGGTGTGGAATTCCTTGGTCCACAGTTTTTGCATATTCAGCAAAATCAGTTATATCAATGAGTTTTCTAAATTATATGCACCAATTTTAGACCAGCAGCACTTCACAAGAATTTCCAGTTTTCCATTAAGTTTGCCTATGTTTAGTATTGTCATTTTAAAACTCATTATAATTTTACACATTTTGATGTATGTAAAACAGTATTTTGTATGGTTCTAATTTTTTCCTAATTATGTTGAATAGCTTTATTCACTATTTAAACATATTCTTTTGTGTAATGTATGTGCTATAGATGTAAGTTTTTCTTTATGTGTGTGTGTGTGTATAATATATAAAATATATATATTTAGCAAATATTTCCTCTCAGTCTGTTGATTGCCTTTTCATGCTCTTAATGAGTGATAATCTCATTTGCTCCTTTGAAGATCAGTAGTTTATATTTTTAATGAAATTCAATTTGTAATATTTTACTTGAGTGGTTAAACCTTATGTAAGAAATGTGTCTGTCACCATTATTTTTCGTTACCTAAAAGCTTCATTGTTTAACTTTTCATCCTCTGGAATTGATTATTTTTTAATATAATGTAAGATATAGCAGTCAAGGTTCTTTCTGCTTTTAATATAGATACTCAAATGAAGCACTAATACTTATTGAAAACAATGTTCTTTTTCCATGGCATTGAACTATCACTGTGTTCTTAATCAGATAACCCTAAAGATCTTCTTTCAGGGCCTCTGTGACCTAGTGGTAAATGGAACCAGATTCCTTGTGGCCAGCCATAGAATTTCTGCTCCAGTGGCTCAAGGAACACACTTGGGCATGTATGCATGGGTGCCCCAAATCCTGTCAAGATGGAGAAGGGATTGTGGCATGATTACTGAGGGATGCTTTCTCCCTTTCTCTCTTTCTCTCTCTTTCTCTCCCTCTCTCTCTTTCTCTCTGTCTTTTTCCCTCTGGCAAGTGTGTATGCCCTCTGGCAATTAAAAAAATAGAGAGAGAGAGAAGATGTTCTTCTGTTAGCTTGTTATCTCCTTTGCATTAAAACCACACCTGTTACATTTCTTTGTGTTGAGTCAATATTTACTAGTATATGATCACTTTGATTTTCATTTTTGTCTTTGCTATTTTATGTCTTTTGAATTTCTAGTATCAACATTAAAACAGCTTGTCAATTCACAAATTCACACACACACACAGACACTATTAATGCTTTGGATTATATTGAATCAATACATTAGTTTTCTAAGAACTGATATTTTTAAAATTTTGAGTCCTCTAAGCCATAAATATAGTATATTCCATGATTTCTCTGTTTAATTGTTAAAATTTTTCTCATAAATACTTTGTTGTTTATGTTGAATTCTTATATGCCTTTCATTAGAATCATTCTAGTAAAGTTTTTGAGGCTAATCTAAAATATATCATCTTTAAAATTAACTTTCCAGTTACTACCAATACATGGAGGATAATCAGTCTTGGTATATGGACCTTTTTATTTAATGATAAATTTACTTACCTTTTTAAAAAATTTACTTTTTATATTACAATTTAAAATACATCATTTTGGATTTTCTCAGGTATATAATTCTGGTATTTGTGAATTTGAAAGTTTTATTTCTCCCCTCCTAATCTTAATGTTTTTTATTCATTATTAGTGCTTTATTACAATAAGCCTTATAGCTAATGTTGAACAGAATATTTTTATTAAGTTCATTACATTGCATTTATTTCTTCCATAGTCAAGAGAGACGGAGAAAGTACCCCTACAGGGTCTTGATGTCATGATCTGTCTCCAGTCCGCACCCACCTTGGATCATGGGTACATACATGTGTGACTGGTATACTCAGAGAGGACTTCAGACACAAACCCAGAACCTTGCCATGTGGAGCTTCACAGAGTGTTTTACTACTGCACCATCCATCCCCTGAATAGAATAAGTCTTTTTTTTTTTTAATTTTTTTTAAATTAATTTTATTTATTCATTCATTTTATTTATTTATTTTAATTTGATCAGAAAGACACAGAGAAAGAGAGAGGGAAAGTGAGAAAGCAGCCACCAGGTCTGAGACATGAACTGTGGTTGGCCATGTGGGAATCCAGTACCCTTATCTACCAAGCCACTTGCCGGCCCCTAGAATAAGTCTTAACAGGCCTTGTTTAGTTCCCAATCTCACAGGCAAATATTTTCATACTTTAGCAGATAGTGTAGTTTAGTTGTAAGACTTTTGTAAATAGACTAAACTTAAGATAAAATAATTTCTTTTTTCATGAGCCCAGAGTCAGTCATGTGATTTGTAGCATACTCATCTGCAGTGCTGGAGCCCACCTGGCTGACGCCCGGTTCAGATCCTGAGGTGACTTTGAAAACATCCTGTTTTCATTTCATTGTGAATATTCATCAGTTGTCAAGGCTGCTGTGAAGTGGTTTGATAGGAAAGATTTTCAAGGGAGTGACCTTAAGGTCTCTCTTGCCTAGGCCACCCTTTGAGGGCAGAGGGATGCTACCTTTGCTCTGTGGAGGTCCAGGGGTCCCGGGAGGTCCTGGCAGTCCCATGGGTAGTTGTGGAGGCTGTGGAGGAGGCAAAGGAGGCTTTCCTCCAAGAAGGCCTTGAGGTTCCCCAGGGAGCTCCTCTGGAGGAGGAAACATCCAGCACTGAGCATGCGACTGGCAGTGTTCCAATCCAGAACTTCATCTGCACAACAGAATGAAACCAGTGTAAGGTGCAGAAGCCTGAAAGCTTCTTCCTGCAATTCTTCCCACCCCTGGGTGGAGATCATGGTAGAGGTGGCCTTGGTGGCATGAGGAGTGGAAGAAGTGGCTTCATGGACCGTGATGGCCCTGGTGGAATGTTTAGAGGTGGTCGTGGTGACAGAGGCGGTTCCATGGTGGTTGGAATATGGACAGACGTGGCTTTGGTGAGGACAACGCAATAGTCCTGGTGGGCCCCCGGACCTTTAATGGAGCAGATGGGAGGAAGACGAGGTGGACATGGCAGACAGGTAAATGGGTAAAGGTGTACAGAGTCAGGAGCTCAGAGATCGGCCCTACTAGGGGTGTAAAGATCCCACGGAGCTGCATTGACTACCAGATTTATTTTTTAAACCAGAAAATGTTTTAAATTTATTATTCCATAATTATAATATAGGCCATTACGTTATGATTATTCCTTGTCTGTACTTTGGTA